TCTGGGATGGGCTGGGCGTCTGGGCGGTCGTTGGGTCGGTAAGTTGCCTTGTGTTATCCCCCGTTGCGCGTATTCTGTTACAAGTACTGCTGCTGTTATTTCCGTCTGCCTTTGCTGTCCCAGTAACCTGTCCTCACCCCAACCCACGGGTTTCACCTTTGTTTTCCCGTTCCGCTCCACGTCCCGCTGGGGAGGCGTGCTCGGTGGGGGCTGAACCACGACAGGCACGTTCCTCCCTTGCTCTTGTGTGCGTTAGCTGAGCCTTGTATTTTCAATGTCTGTTGTTGTGGTGGGCGACTCTGGCTGGAGCCCAGGCGTCCACCAAAGCTGCTTTATCACTCCCCCTCCTCAGGTGGACAGGAGAGAAAATATAACGTGGGTCAAGATAAGGACAGGGAGAGATTGTTCACCAATTACCGTCATGGGCAAAACAGACTTAAAATCTAATTTATTACCGAGCAAAACAAAGTAGAGTAATGAGAAATAAAACTGAATCTTAAAACACCTCCCCCTACCCCCCCTTTCTTCCAGGCTCGACTTCACTCCCGATTTCTCTCCCTCCTCCCCACCAGCGGCACAGGGGAATGGGAGTTGTGGTCAGTTCATCACACGTTGTCTCTGCCGCTCGTTTCTCCTCAGGGTGAGGACTCCTCACACTCTTCCCCTGCTCCAGCGTGGGCTTCCCACGGGGTCACAGCCACCTTCGGGTGTCTCCACCTGCTCCGGCGTGGGGTCTTCCATGGGCTGCGGGTGGAATCTCTGCTCCCCATCAACCTCCATGGGCTGCAGGGGGACAGCCTGCCTCACCATGGTCTTCTCCACAGGCTGCAGGGGAATCTCTGCTCTGGCATCTGGAGCTCCTCCTCCTCCTCCTCCTTCCTCACTGACCTGGGTGTCTGCAAAGTTTCTCACATCTCACTCCTCTCTCCGGCTGCAAAAGCTTCTGCTCTTTTTTTAATTTTTTTTCCCCTCTCCTTAACTCTGTTATTCCAGAGGTACTGCCGCCATCACTGATGGGCTCAGCCTTGTCCAGTGGTGGGGTCTGTCTTGGAGCTGGCTGGCATTGGCTCTGTCGGACATGGGGGAAGCTTCTAGCAACTTCTTGCAGAAGCCACACCTGTAGTGCCTCCCCCTTCCCATCCCCTCTGCCCCCAACCATGCCACACAAACCCAAAACAGTTGTAGAAATGGTTTCTTAGGAGGTTTGAGTGTGGAATGTAATGTGGTTTTATCAGCGACAGCACACTGTCCAGTTTATGGGGGATAATGGCAGAAGTAAGTATGAAAGAAGTTCTAGTAGGCACATAGGCGCTCAGGACTATTATATTTGGAGCAGGTGGAATGTGACCCTAGAGACCTGTAATTCCATGCAGCTTCTGCTGGTGTGCACTCTGATTCTGTCACATTTCACAAGCTAAGATTTGGATGAGGTCTCTTCTGGGAATATACGTGTGCTAAAGGGAGTAGTATCAATAACTCAATATGAAATGCTGCTTCCACTAGCTTGTTACTGACCCAGGTATCTGTGTGTGAGGCAACACAATGATAGCAAATATGCTTACGTGTTTTCTGATGACATGTTAGGCTGTAGGGCTGATCTGTTATGATCTTAGGTGGCTATAATACTTTCCCTAAGAGTAGGGCTTTCAAATATCAGCTTTGACCTTTCCGGAAAAATAACTGTTCCCAGCCTCCTATCCTTCAAAAGCAACAGAAAAGTCAAATCTTTTGTCCTCTCTTTTTCCTGATGACTCTTCTGGGGGAGCCAAAATTAGTGAGCACCTGCATACCAAATGATGAAGCACAGTGGTGACTGAAGTGTTGAATTTTTACTTCATTACTTGAGGCAAGATTGATGTAGACTGGGTTGTGTATGTATATATGTATATATACTTGTCTATATGCTTGCCCTATATACTTGCCCTGGTTTTATTCCCTGTTTTAGACATTGACTTTTGGCTGCCACTAGAAGTAGGATACCCGATATACAAGAGCATGTAGAATATACTACTTAAAGAAATTAATAAAATCCAATTACAGCCTTCCCTGTCTAGATAGGAGAAGAGATTTGACATCCTAGTCATCAGGCCTCTGTCTGTTCAAACAGTTTGTACTAAAATAGTTTTCTGGCCAAGATGTTTTAGCTTACAGTTTAGTTACGAAGGGTTAAAAAATGTTGTTGCACTTTCAGGTTAAATAAGAAACATCTCCCTTTTTTCAGACAATTTCTAGTTCTAAAGTACATAATAAACAACAGCTCTCCACTTCAGTAATATGGAGAGAGCACAACATTATTTTTTTTTTTGTCACAGGTCATCATCTTAGAAATAGTTCTCTAGTACAATTCCAGACTGAATAATGGGAAATTTAAGATAACAGTGTACTTAAATTGAGCGTAGTTTTTTCCTCCCTTCTTTTGAGGTTATGTCATGTAATAGTTTGTACTGTTGCTAATTAAATAGGTTGTCTTTGCAATTCCAGCTACCAGTGTACTTCTGTGAGCAGAAAATGGTCCTAGTTTATAATTTGATTATAAGTTCAGGTTTTTTTGTTAAAGGCATTGGGATCTGTCATCATGAAAGTTACTGTGGTATTAGCATATGATCCTGATGGTTAAAGTTTGTCTTGTGAAAGTAGTGATATGAGATATGACAATGCACTATGCTGATAGATCCAAAACCGTAGGGATATTTTTGCGCAAATTATGATCGCTTAGAACTATCCAATGTTACTTAGTTTTCATTTACTATAAGCATTGATTGCAGCATTTTTACTAGGACGAGTTTTTTTTTCTTGTAGTTTGGTTTTTTTTTTTTTTTGGTCTGGCAAAATGTGTGGGTAGGCATAATGGACTTCAACTTGGTGAGGAAACAAGAGTAAATGGAGATGCTTGAGTTGAAACTTAATGGTAGGCAAATGAGAGTTTTCCTTAAGTCAAGTGTGTTAGTCTTTTAAAGCAAGGTGAAGTACCTTGCAATTACACAGGAGTGTTTGTTAGTTGGGCTCCTGAAAAGCTAAGTGTGTCAGGTTCTTTGCACTCTTCCTGCTTTTTTTCCACACTGCTCGTGTGCTACTGCTCTCGGGATTTCTGGCCAGGCAGATTTACTATGAATGGTGTCTGATGCAGTTCAGTTTTAGACTGCAACTGCATTAATTGTAGTGACCCTGCTTTATGGAGATTTTGATCGTGACTTCTGTTGCTGCTGCTCTAGTTTTGCAGAGGGTTTGTAGTTGTGACGGATTCTAAGAAACTTTGATTGAGACAGACTCACAGCATGGTTAGTACACTCACCACTAACCAGTGTCCATTTCTAGTAGTTGTGTGTTTTCCTCTTAGCTGCTGTCTTAGGAGACTAGGTATCTTTCTCATCAGTGAGTATGTTCCTTTTGCTTACTCTGTGAGTCTGGTCTTGTCCTGTTGTGAAGTCTCTCCTGTGACAGCCTGTAACACGTGCCAAATGATTGGCCTCTACCTCTGTCACAGTAATTACTTCAGAGAAAGAGTTGTGCATAAGACATCACACAACATTGAACTAAGGTTGATGAGATGCAGTCGCAACAGAGTGCTAAAGCTGCCCTAGGCAGGTCTATAAAGAGGGTTTTGTTCTATAGGGAAATTTTGTAGACTGATGAGTTGGATAGTTTAAAGCATTTAGTGAGGCCCCATAGTTACTGCAGATCATTGAGACAGAATACAAATATAAGGCTCTTCAGGAAGGAATTCCTAATGAGACTTCAGCTGTTTCACATCCAGAAATGCCTACCTGCAGTATTTTGTGGGACTGTCACAGGGCATGTTGATGTTACTTGTAGCTAATTCCATGCTATTTCTTTAGGAGATGATGAGCAAAGTGATTGGTTTTATGAAGGAGAATGTGTTCCAGGATTCACTGTCCCCAACCTTCTTCCCAAGTGGGGAGCTGACCACCGATCTGAAGTAGAGCGGATTGACTCAGGCCTGGACAAGCTCTCAGATTCCACGTTCCTCTTGCCCTCGCGGCCAGCTCAGAGAGGTGAGATCCATAAGGAATGTCATGTGTTTGAGAACTTCTGATGTGCTAGCAAGAGTAGACTCTGTTCATAGGTGCTGCAGTTTAAACTGATATTAGTGATCTCGGTTTTTTTAATGATTGAATTCAAAATAGCTGTGCTACTGGAGAGGATACTAACATACTCATACCAGCTGCCCACCTTTTTGAGTCTTTTTTTTTTTTAAATAGGAATTTTATTTGATTTGTGAATGGATTGACATATCTACCTCTTGCAGATTGAGAAACAAGAAACAGAGGATCTGCTTTGACCACCTAACTGTTTTTCCTGGTGGTTTCATCGGGAAGAATCTTATGTATTCATTGCTCAGTTTTTCTGGGTTTGGTTTTCAGGATTTCATGCTCGCCTGAATCGCCTTCCAGGAGCTGCTGCCCGTTGTCTCCGAAAAGGTCGGAGGAGGCTTGTTGGCAAGGTATTCTCTTTTGCAAGATAATAATTTTGTATTTCTAATGCTGATCAGTCCTGAAGTGCTATTCTAAGATATCACATGAATTGTTTTGTGCAGAAAGGGGCCCTTACATTTTTTGTTTCATGTATTGTTTGATTTAATTGCTTTGACTGTCAGAAGTTGATAGAGTGACTAAGTGGATTCTAAGGCAGCTTTGGAGTGGCAAAGACAGTTGATCAGTGCTAAAAGCAGTATGAAAGGAGGTCTGAAGATGAATGACAAGGAGTATAAATATCAAGAAGATTTAGACAGAATGTAGGGGGAAATGGTGATGGCATGAGACTTGTGCATGCTTATAATCTGAGACTGCAAGGGCAGAGAGGTGACTCAAAGGTGAAGGAAGGCCAAATCTTAGGTAGGGAAGCAGACTGATATGAATGGCAGCAAAGGAAGATGGTTTTAGCAGTTGCATTTTTAGTGGGGAGACAGAATAATAAAAGGGTATATGCAGTAGTGCAAAGTTACCCAGAGCCATTGACTAGGTTTATTATATATAGGGCAAACTACAAACAAAATATTAGTCCTGTTTCTAAAGGAATAAGCACTACTTTGCAGATGCCCGTCTAAAAGAGGGAGGATATACCTGGTCAGGTCTGGATCTTGGAGTGTTGAATGCTGTTGTCTGTCGTAAAAGATGCTTCTGAGAAGGAATGTGTTGGCTGCTTTTGGTTTTTACTCTTAATGGGATGTGCTCTGTGCTTTTGAAAATATTGGCATATATTCTGAGCTGACTGGCTTTAGAGAGTCTGTTAGCAAGGTGTGTTAGAGGGGCCCAGAGTCTAGAGGACTGCAACTTCTTCCTTCTGTTCAGTCACACTTGAAAGATCCTTGTTCGCCCCTTCTTTCTTCTACTCACCTTGCTTAGTTGTAACCAGCATTTAAAATATGAGTCCTCAGCTGGCAAGAGACTGGCTTTGGGTAGGATTCCTCAGGCCACCTGCAAGTGGCTGGGCCTGTCGGCAGCACCTCTAATGATCCAAATGAGAAGGATAATATTTACTTGTTTAATTCATCTTCATCACCTTAAAGGGATCTTTGTCATTTGCAGCGGAGGTCACTGCTCCCCCTTCCCCATCTCTCTCTAAATTGTAATCATAAATAATGAGTTTCATTCAGAGCTCCCCGCTAGCAAGCTGCTAATTACCAAAAGTACGGCTTGTAATTTACACAGTAATATTGGGTAAATTTAAACATTATGGCACTTTAAGTTAATAATTTTCCTGCTGTAACAAATAGCCCATCTTTCACCCCTGCTGCTGCAACTCCCCCCAAACTTTGAGGGTGTTTTGTCTATGTACCTGGCACAAACTGTGAAGAATCTTACCTGTGAAAGCTTTTTACCCTCATCTTCAGACCCTCACTGCAAAGCGTATTTCTTTCTTGGAGGGAGTTGCTATGCAGATATGAACAGCTGGTGCTTCAGGCTGTGTGTGTACCTGTATGCCAGCATTGAGCACGTACACAAGGCAGTGTCTCTCAGGCAGAAACATACTCCCGGAGCAAGTCTTTTCTCCTAGGATCTATCTTTTCTTTAGCTGCTAGAGGTCCTGCTGCTGAACTGCTGCTTTCAGAAAGGGCAAAAGCTTCATGCACACTCCTTGTTTCATTCACCTGTGCTTGGTGAATCCCCATTGTTAGTGGGACAGTGTGGTGTCCTGTCTCTCAGCCTGCTTCTTGCCCAGCTGACCCCAGTAACCTGGAAATAAGCACTTCTTATTAATAAGCCATTTCCCCTGTTCTTAACGGCATCCTTGTGCTGCATGCTTTGCACTGGTCCAGTCCTTGGTGTGCCCCTGTGCAAGTAAATATCATCACTAAACTAATAAAACCCAAGCCCCACAGATAAAACAGAATGATTTTCTGCCGTTCTAATTAGTTAAATCAGCTCAGTTGAGGTTCTAAAAGGAGAGGGTTAATATGTTTAGCTGAGTGTGGGCTGGGAAGGAAAGAACGTGGCCCAGAAGAGTAAGATCTATTCTTATTGGCAGCAGCAAACTATTATGTCTGCTCACTGTGTGAGAGTCTGCAACCTTTTACCTGTCTTTGTGTTTCAGGAGACCTCCATGAGCACTCTGGGCACCGAGAGGCTAGGTCGTATTGTTAGCGATCCGCGCCAGAAAGAGTAAGGCCCTTAACAGCTGTTGTGCAGAACTTTGGGAGGGGAGGAGAAACTACAGGGTCCTCTTCCCTCCTGGGACTGAAGGGAATGAAGAGCTGGGTGGTAACTTAAGCATGCAGTGAGTGACCTGTGAAATGGGAGATAGTCCTCTACTGATGGCTTCTCCGTTTTCTTATTTGCAATTGCTGACTTCTCTTTTGTTTATAAGGCTGCCCTAGCGTGTGGACACTGCTCAAATGCCCTTTTGGTTACAGTCAGCTTTTTCTTTCCCCTTCCCTTATAACTGCAGATCTTCTGCACAGTATGAGAAGACTGAGCCCTATATGTTATTTAAAAAGCTTCTATGTGGAGTCATGCTATGGGCACGTACCCAGACTGCAGAAATGATGCTGACAAGGCAGCTGCGAAATTGCTTTCTCTTTGGTGTTCTGTTTCCTTCCCCAATTAGTGTATTTAAATTGTAGTCAGCACCCAAAATAGTCTTGGAGTGTATCCTTTGGCATCCCTCTAATACTGTTCTTGTTGGGCAATGGATAGGTAGGGGTGGCACCTCTTGACTGTAGTGCAATGGGTCCAGCCTTCACCAGCTGTTGGCATCCAGTTTTCTTCCTTGGATCTGAAATTTGTTGTTTTTAATATGAGTCCTGCTGATGTTTAATCTTTTCTCCTTCTCCCTCCATTTTTGTTCTTCCCTTCCCCTTATATCCTTTCTCCCAACCCTCTTTTTTTTTCCTCCCATGTTCTCTCCTTCCTTGGCATTGCTCCCACCTGTCCTTCTGACTCTGCCTCCTTCCAGTTTTTGGTTACCATCCATGGGGAAGAGAGATCGCAACCAGGTAAGCTGACTCTGCTCTACCTTTTTTATTTTCTTGGTTTCCTTCTCTCTAGAAAGAACAAAGTGCCGGCTTCTGATTTCCGACACACTGTGGCTTGTGCACATGAGGTAAGGCAGCCCTGTCCCTTCTCATTTTGGTAACTGATGTCTTCTAGGCTTTGAACGCAACCCATGTTTCCGGCATTATATCGTCTATTTGAACTGAATAGCTCAGCAACTCCTTTTGTTTACCTCCCTGTTTCAGGTTAGTGTAGGCCTTCCCTTCTGATGGTGAGCGGGAGGGAAAATGCCTCTTGGCAGAAGGAACTTTGACCTCTCAAAATTCCATAAGAATTGGAACATTTTTCTCTTTTTAAATGCTGTTTTGTCTTGTTTGGCTCAGGCTTCTACCTGATAGTCTCACTAACAGAGAAGGGAAAAAAATGGTGAGCTAACTGTAGTTAAATAGCAGCTATAACAGGAAAAGGTAAGAGGTGATAAGCAAGAGATATAGGCATTCTTTTAACTGAAACTCTTGTTTATGCACTTTTATATTCTTCAGAAAGTCTTTCATAGCTTCAGTGTTAGGAGGCTTTTTTTACTTAAGATACAAGAGCTTGGGTTCTTGATAGCAGAAAGCAAAAAGGATTTTCCATTTGAGCAGCTGTGTTGTAACAGTGTTCCTAGCCATGCACACTCCCTTCTATTCCTTTGCGAGTTGGTTTTTGGTTGGTGAGCAGTAGGATTGAAATGTTTTACCCTTCAGGTGACTAAAAATACATATATGGCAAGAAATAATTTTCAGGCCTTTGTGCAATTGTGTATTTTCCATTAAAGAGAACATTTCATATACCATTTTTATATTGCTAAAGATAAGAATGATAACTACATAAGCTTTAAAATGACCAAAATAAATTAATTTTGTTTTTCTTAAATAAACTTGAATCAGTTACAGAGGGTTACCAGTGATTCTCCCCTACTGTGCAGCTGCAGTGTTACTTCACTGACAGTAAACTAACAGCCCAACTGCAGGAGGAGCTCCCTGATAGCAGCAGCTTTGTGGTGCATAGTGCGTCTTCTTTCTCAGACAGGTTGAAGGCAAAGGTCTAGTACTGAGTTCTAGAGTTGCAGATAGCTTTTATGACAAGTCCTGGTACAGCTGTGGGTTATTCATTTGTCCTTATTTAAAAATGCATCAGTACTCCTAGTAATACAGGAAAAGTGTTCTGGAGATTGGTGTAGCACTTTGCAAAGCAGATGGAAATGAATTTCCTGCTGGTGGTGTGAATTACAAATAAAGAGGAGATGCTGAATGGAAGTGTAGTGCAGGTACTCCAGAGAAACTACCAGTCTAAACCTTCTATTTGCATATTGAGCAGAGCTTGTTCCATACATTGATTATTCCATTTCTGCCCTGACTTTAAAAAAAAATAATCTTAAGAGTTGTGTCTTCTACAACAAGCAGTCTTGTACAGGTTTGATGCCTTCAGAATTTGTCTAGTATATGTCTAACAAAGGATCTAAGATTAACCTGACCATGCAGTGTTTCAGAAATTTGTTTTAAGCAGTTTGCAAAGAAAGCTTGTGAGGTGGGTTGGGAGTAGGAGGAGCAGCTCACTTGCTGTGGAATGAACTGGGAGCTCATTGTGAACCGAACCTGGTGGGGCTGAGTCTTCTAGAGGTCTGTTTCAGTGATACATACGACCATAGGGAATATTGGAACTGCTCTGTGGGAAGTTCTGTGCTTGCACCATTCATAACAGTGACTTTTCTCTCTACAGCATGAAGGTAGACAAGATGCTTCTTGAAAGGGAGACAGACTTTTTGCTCATGGCATGTAGCAGTAGAGCTCTTTGAGCATGCTCTTAGTCAACTGGCATTTGTAATAATGTGAGTTGAAAGAGGAGTGTGCTTACAAGGCTGTCTGTTGTGAGAAGATGGTTGTGAGATTTGCTGTTGCACCTCGTTCTAGCTTTTTGTCTGCAGTGAGAGTCAGTTCTCAGCTAGACTCGCCCCTTAATATGTCAGAAAGATCTTATACTGAATGAACAACTGTAGGGAATAGATCTGAGCAGCTGTATCTGGAGACTATTTCTTTTAACGCTTTGCTTAAATAAAATCTCTTGACTTTCCAGTTCAATCCATTATCTCCTCTGTACTCTCTGGATGTGCTTGCTGATGCTTCCCACCGAAGATGCTCACCAGCACACTGCACTGCCAGGTAACTCCCTTGCTCTGCTCTGTTGGGGTTGTCTTGCTTCTCTCCCACAGTTATCTTCAGTAGTACTGTGTGGTCGGAACAATACTCATGGACCTGCAGCAGTTTTCCCTAGGAGGCCTGTGTTCAAACTTAGCATAAAACATACTGATGCAGATTATTTGAAAGTCTCAATACACTAAGTGCTTAGAGTATGTGAAACAATATATGACAGACAGGCAGAACATAGTGTGCTTTTAGAAATAAATGTGATCTGTTCTGGATTGTGTAGTGAGTTGCTGCAAGTCTGTTGTATAGGTACAAATAGGCATAGTGTTGTTGCCCACTATTAAAATCTGATCAAGATGAGAGGGAAAGTGCTGACAAACTCGTGTGGGTGACATGCTGAGGCATTTTGGTATCTTGAGTGTCTAAAATAGACCCTCTGAACAGATTCAGAACTCACCTGAGGTGACCTCTAATGGCTTGATATTGCTCTCTATTGCTATAGCTGAAATTTAGATCTGGTTTGGCCAAACGTTGAGGTATATTTGAGTCTGCATAGTTGGGGTTAATATGCTATTCAGGCACCTTCTGCTGACTAATCCTAAATTAAATTCAAGTGTGGCCTTGGAGGTGACTCCTGTTCTTGTGCTGCAGGTGACTAAAGGTAAGGTGCCCTTGAGCTCTTTCCCCATGCAAGGAGACAAAGCCTTGCATGGGACGGAATTCTGTTTATGTGCTTGTACAAAGGACCAAATCTGAAAGAAATGTCTGGACTTTCAGCTTCATGGCTTGCTTTCCCTCGTTAATTAGCAAATAGAGCATGAAAAATGTACTGAGGTTATATGTGTCTGAATGAAAGGTTGGCACCCAACCAGCAAAGCCTCTCCTCCCACTGGCTTCTGCAGGGAGTTTTGTGGTGTCGCACCATGACCTCATGCTGCTGTAGCCAGCATGTTAAAGCTGGAAAGGGTGAGGGAGAAGAAATCAGCTCTTAGACATTCAACTGGATGAGAATAAAAAGAATTCAGAAGATTGTGCATCAGCAAATGGGGTCCTTTCTGTGCTTTTGCCCCAGTCTGGGGATGTTTTGTGCCCATGAAGCAAGAAGATTGATTGGTCTGTTCATTTACAGCTAGGATAACCTTTCTTGTGTCTCAAGTGTTTTACTTAATGCTTTACAGAAGTTTGTTTTCCAGAAAGGAGAGTTAGACAAATCCTGCTCACAAATTCAAACACGGCCAAGTCTTTACCTTTATGATGATCTTTGAAGGCCCTTTCCAAAGCTACTGGGTTATGGCAAGGGATTTCTAAACCTGGAGGAATCATGTTTGCTTGGTTTTGCTGAAGATGTAGTCTAGTTAATGAATTAATATATGCTTGGTTCCTTCCTCTAATGAACAGGTGACTGGTGTCCTGAAAAACATAATCCCTGATAAATTGTTACTGAATGTTAGCAGAGAAGTTGTCCTGTCCCAGAGACAGCTGTGTTTTTAAGTGCCTGTGGTTTGAGAAAGTAGTTCCTATTGTAGTGTGAAATATGCTTAAGAATCTTTCTCCTATAAAGAAATATGGAAAGAAAAAATGAACATGTTATGTAGCCCCATGTACGTGGCAAGGATTGAACTCTTCAGTGCAAGGTGCTTGCTTTATGTAAAGATGCTGCCAAGGGCACAGAAGGAAATCGTTCCTTCACAGAAACGTTTTCTTGACAATAGTTGTTCTTTAGGTGCTTCAAGAGCTAAGCCTATTAGTAGTTCATTTTCTTACAGGAAGTTCAGGTGATCTCTGTAAGTGCTGTTCAGCCATTGCTCCAGTTAACATCTTCCCCTCTTGCCATAGGTGGAGTCAATTCCCGCAGTTGTGCTTTAGTAAGATTCTAACAGCTTCCATGTCATCCTGGAGAAACTCTACTCAGAAATTTGTAAGAAGGGTGTGTGTGTGTGTGGGGGGGAAGCTAATCCCCTGAGAATGATATGAAATGTATTAGAGAAGAAACTGCCTTGATGTTGTGGACATCCAGTTTCTTCAACTTGATGCCCACTGTGCCATGCGAAATTACCTCTCTCTTAGTTTCTGCTATCAGGAATGTGTCCAATGGAATATAATTACCAGGTGGAAATTTTTCCCATGGAAATGTTTTCTTTGTTAGAGTGGTGGATTTTGGTGCCGTTCATCTGGAGGACTGGTAACTCAGTGCTTCATTTAAGCAGATCTGAAGGCCAGAATACTGAGCACAGGTGGGGGTGTTCAAGAAAGGCTTTTCAGTGTCAAGGAGGAGGTTCTATGTGGAGGGTTCATTGGGAAGCCTTATTTGAAAGGCTGTATAAATTGTACACTACCAAGATTACCTTTCTTGCTTTATGTCTGTGATGAGAAGAGATTTCATTCAAAGTGTATGCACAGCACTGGGAATTTCACACCCATCATTAGAAGCACTTTTGTGTGTGTGGTGACTGTTATCATTAGTGGTATAATTTTATTTTGTGAAGCAAGGAGAGTTTCCTGCTTTCTTGCAGTCCTCCCGAGGGACGGCTGGTGTATTAATTTGCTGTATTGCCTCCTGGCTGTTCCCAGGCTGTTTTTCCTCTTCATCATGGAATTTTTAATGGCCCTGCTGCCTCTCGGGAGGCATGCAAGGAAGAGTACCTCAGGGATCTCTTCCTTTTTTCACATGCCTATAATTACTCTCCTTTAAGTGCACAAAGCGTTTGCTAATCATGTCTTGTCTGTTAAGGTTTCAGCTTGACTATGCAGGCTGTTAAAAGCAGGCGAGTAGAGACTTGCATGGACAGCCCGAGTGGTCCTTCCCCTCTTTCCCTCTGCCCGTTTGCTTTTCTGGGAGAAAGGAGTGGTCTGAACAGAATTTTCTTCTTGCACTTCTTCTGCTTAAGAGGACTTTGTACAATCTTAAGCAGAATATTTTATTAGATTTTGATTATTCAATGGCTCTATCAGTGGGAAGGTGTTATAGGTTGTTGGTTGGTGGAATGTTACTCCCTTAAGGCAGAGTAAGAGTTTCGAAAGAGCCTAGAGCCAATATTCCCTTCAATTTGAGTTTGAATAGCAGGTAGAATAAGAGAGGAAGGTAGAAAATAAATTGTCCCTACTGCCATTTATTGTTTGCCTAGCCTTGAAAATAGGGTTATGGGTGAAAAACTCAATTAAATGTTCCAACTCTTGGTCATAGGAAAAGTGGACCTCAGATGGCAAGTAGATGTTCAAGGTGGATATCTGAAGAATTATGTTAGAGATGCTTCTGAAGGCTACAGATGAATTGAAGAAAATTCTTTATATGTACTCTCAGTTAATATTAACTGTAAACCTAGAGTTTAATTGGGCTTAAAAGCAAGTCTCTCATCTTGCCTGGAATAAATTTATCCTGATAAAGTTCTAAAGGGGTGAGTGATCATCTCTTAGTAAACTGCCAGGTGCTTCATATCCTGGATTTGGTGGTGCTGTTAGAGTGAAAAGGCTTGAATGTCTCTAATTCTAGTTCCAGCTCTGGAAATACGGTCATCAAAGTAAATTTTGTTCTTTCTCTTCTCTATCTGTGCAGAGATCCTGACATTTCTGCCTCTTACCCAAACGTGTGGAAGAATAGGGATTGCCTGCATTGTGAAGCCTTTCCTGAGGCAGCTGAAGGAGTGAATGGATGTTCACAATTTCATGCTGGCCCACTAGACCGGGACAGTATCCAGTTCATTCCATGCAACCTGTCCCCACATCTTCATCTTCCTGGAATTGTTTTTATGTAAAAATGTCTGCTGTCAACTGCTTTTAGGCATCTTTCTCCCCAGGTTGTTTGTTTTTTGTGGGTTTTTTTTTTTTTTTCAACTATTTTTCCATTTAGTTGGAGCACTGTCATGTCTTCTTTTGCTAAAGCCTGGCTAATATTGCAGTTGGGGATATAATTGAATTCTTCTGACAGGCATGCAATGAACAGCAGCTATCAACCTAGTGACACATGCAGTTGTCTGAGGCCTAATGCTCCCGGTTTGGTGAATCCTAATTCTCTGGAGTGAAAAATAAATTCCCCTTAGCTTCAGAATTTTGTTTACTTGCTATCACTTTCTTCGCCTATAAAGCATGTTGCCATTATCAAATCTGTGTACTCAGCAGGTCTGGCAAATATTAGGACTCTTTCTGGCACAGATATCATGTGATTCAGTATGAAAATACAGAATGCAATATATGGGATCACGTTGTCTCTGCTGAGACTAGTTACCTGGAAAACTAGAAGAAAATGTGTTCACTTGTATTTGCCACACACAGACTTTTAGGAATGGAATTGCTATGTCATTAGAATGTTTACTTGGGCAACAGACTTCTGCTTCATGAAGACCTATGACATTTGGATGATGACGTGTTAGTGATTTTTGGAATCTGAAAACGTGCTCTAGCAGCTCTCTAGGGCTCTCTGCAGGGCAGAGGAGAGGGCTATGCACAGGAAATATCTACAGTGTGATGTGATAGGAAGAACCACTTGCATGTATGGGAGCTGTGCATGCAGATTGGATGAGTGCTTATATTGATTTACACCTGTTACGTGCAGATCAGACTTTGGTGCCCAACTGGCTTTATAGTCAAACAGGAGGAAGAACTCTGCTTTTACTATTAACTTAGTGAAGCCATCAACAGCCTCAGGTAACACCTCAGGGCTTAGCGAGAGAGCTTTTTATCGGGCCTGTGTTTGCTGGGAATATAGCATCGCAACAGCAACAGCTGGTTTGTGTGGAGTTTTAGTAGCAGTATCCTTGTTAGAAGGCTGTCTCTGTTGAACATTTACTTTAACATGAGGATAATAGCATCCCTTGTTTGTATGACAGTAGATTAATGACTGCCTCTCACTACATAATCCAAGTGTTTTGCTTCCACCAAGGATAGGGTTAGAATAAAGGTTGTCAGCAGACAAGCTGGATGATGTGAGATTACAGCGAGAGGCATACACCCCCAAGTGTGAGATGTGCCTCCTGCCTCCAAGAAGGACACAGATTGTCACAGCTCTGTAGAGTCCTCTGAGACCTCCATTGTGAGATTGAGGTGGTTTTTAACCCAAATTTTGAGAGTGGACATGACTTTCCAACCTAGAGTTTTCTTCGCAGATAGTGAAGGTTTCAGGGGCCTAATGCTGTTCAGTAAGGTTCTTTGTGGGCTGATGCCTGCTTGAGCTCTGCATTGTCTCCCACAGATTGTACTGCCAATCCTAATTTTCTGTTGAAACCCTCTGGTAGATGTAAAATAGTGGCAAGCTCCTGTGACCCTATAGTCCAGCATGTGGTCACCTCAAACTGCAGGAGCGAGATAGGAGTCCGGTGTATGCAATTACAGTTCATTTAAAAAAAAAAAAAAGTCATAGAATAAATATGTGGAAAATAAAAGAAAGCAAGCATTACTTTTGACATATTAGAGACATCAATGAATGTCGGCTTTCTGCGTAGCAAAGCCCACTTTTTCTGCGATGTGACCTGCGTGCAGAATTGGGTACCTTAAGTACTATGTTAAGAATGAGAGACAAATCCATATTTCCTGCATAATTCCTTTAGCTTGTGATTGAGGAAAAAAAAAATCATCACTGTCAGAAGGACACTATAGACTTTTCTCATATAAAACCATTTTTTCTATATGTATGTAATTTTTCATTCACTAACTCCTGGCAGTGAGAGGCTGCAGTGTGAGTTGGATATATTGCAGCCATCAGCATAGCTGCCCTTTGGATCCTGCTTTGTCTCTCTAGGTGTGTTCTACTTTTTTCTCTTCCCAGGTTAGAATTTCAGTCCTCTCTAGACTGTAAACTAGGTTTTCACATTAGTTTCTGGTCACCTAGAAGATCCAACTGTGACTGAGCACTGTATTTTGGTGTTTTGTTTTGGTTTTTTTTCTTATAACCAACCAGCTATAGTCCAAAAGTAACCAGTCAATTATTTTCTCATTACTGTTTGTGCAACATTAAAGAAGGTATAGAAGCCTAGCAGAGGAGATTGAAAGCCAGTCAAGACAGAGTAAGTACCATTGTAGTTTCTCAGTTTAGGCCCAGATCTTTCATCCCACAGAGCTCTGTGCCTCAAACTTCTTCACAGAGGGGCTTGTGACAATGCGCGAATGTGCGTTTTCTGTCAGCCTTTCCTCTCAGCCCCGTTCTGTTCTACTTCAGAGTAATTTTTAAAGCGTTCAGAAGAGTTGTTAAAATTCAACTTTGGCAGAAAAAACTAATTCATGGTTGCAGCCTGTCAGTGAGACTTTCACAATTTATAGTTCAGCCTGTCCACTGCAATGTTGTGTGCTGTGCATACCCATGATCTGACTTTCCTGGTGGTGGTGTTTCTAGAGGTCTGCTGTTAAAACTGGGATTCACTAATTCTATTCTCTTACCGATTATAGCACCTGTATGCGAGCTTACAGCTTATTAGAAATTTAGATTGAAAAGTGTGGTATCTACCAAAAAAATGCATATTTCATAAATTACACTTTAGACACCCTTTCTATCCATGTCTTAATGACTATCATCCTTGCGTGCGTTCTTCTGCTCCTCTCTCCCCCAAGATACCTACGACCTGGAGATTCCTTGTATGCAGATTTATGGTGCCCGTAAAGTGCGCCAGCCACTTGAAGCTGACACTTTTACCACCAGGTCAGTCAGAGCCAGTGAGTAATCAATAGGTTCCTGATTTACTAACTGAAGTGTGGGTGATCAATAAGGGATAAACCTGAATGAAATACATGTTACAGAGACGATTTATGACCTCTGAGCCTTTGTGTGTTAGAGGCAGGGCTGCTAGATGCAGCATCCTTGCTATTACTCTTCAGCTGGAGTATGATTTGCCTTTACTTTCACTACAAGAAGGGATTCTGAGATTCTTGTATTCTGTTTTCATTTTTCTTTTTCTTTTTTTTTTTTTTAATCCGCCTGTGTAATTGTGAGATAAACATAGATGTGGTTTGAGCATAGAACTGAGAGCCAGTAGCTCTTATTTGAAATCTAGCTGTAACATTTCTGAACTGGGAAAAATTGCATAAAGTCTCTTGGAAATGATAGTGCATAGTTCTTTTGTAGTCCATAGTGATTCTTCACCAAGGATCAGCTGGCTAGTGTTGGTGTGAGTTCATAAAATTAAAAAGGGAATCTTACTATGTGATAAAATGAGTTGGCTTATTATACATAATTATATAGTCATCTAGTTAGTAATCTAATACTGTGTCACTGATGCAAAATAAAAAACTGAAGTTCCACTTGACTGAAACTCTCTTTTCCTTGGGCTATACATGCCTAGATGTTTCAGGATACATAGTAGAACTGTGCTAAAATACTATAGAGCCACTGTCATAATCATGTACAAAAGCAGGTTTTAGCATATGTGAAGTCACTTAGAGGTTAGTTGCTTATGTGTACAAAGATTTGAATATGCAGTCTGTAGGTGTGCTGGTTTTTTTGAAAGCCTTTAGTTCATGTTTTTGGGAGACTTCTGTGTCTGGTTATATTAATATAGGTTCCAAGATTTGAAAAATTGGCTGTCGGTGAAACTTAGCACAATTTAAAAATTTTTGAAACTATTCCTTAATGTCAGATTTAGATGACAGATCTTGTAGACTTCTTGTAGAACTTTTGAATATTAGTTGAGAAGACAGAATGGGAGATATTTCTTATTTTGTAGTTGTACATTTGTTACAGGTAAGTAGGTAGACCCAGCAGCATTCAAACAATTTATAGTCTTGGCTGGTATAGAAAAATTTTTGTGCTCCCTACACTGTTCTGTATAGTTACAACAGCACACTTTGGTTTTGCATAAATTCAGCATCTAAAATTGTATATATTATAATTATACAACTTTTTTTTTTTAAATAGATTTTGGCATGGAAATATGAAGCCATGAACTTTACCTTTTATTATCTGTAAAAGATTTCAGTACTTGATAAATGTGTTTAAATTTTCAGGATTTTTTTAAATCAAAATAACAAACTTTAAAGATATAGAAGCTTTTCATCACTTAATCATCAAAATTTATATGGTTCCAATCTTTACACCATGTAAGCACCTCGCAATCTTTAATGGATTTTATTTGCACTGTAGTTCTGCATTTTGCACATCAGGTCTGATGCAGAGAGTGACCAAGGAACTTGCCAAAGAAACTCTGTTATCTCAGACAAAGCAGGGATTTGAACCCAACATCATTCCTAAATTATGCATTTGTATTCATTATGGATTGTATTTGAGAAAGTTCTCTGATCTGCTGCCAAGACTGTCTTTTCTGAATTAAACTTCTCTTCTTTGTATGGCTAGAACTTGGAGTGCTTAGTTCAAGTCAGTCCCAATAATGCAGGTTTCTTCTTAATTGGCAAATGGTTAAACTGAAGTAGTCATCAGTAGGCTTCAGACTTAACAGTTGCTATGACCAGGACAGATTATGCCTTTCAGCCAGTTTACAGGTGCAGCAAGGCCATATTACAATAAACCAGATTCTGCTGTTTTCACAGCACTTTGATAAGGAAATCATAATTTTGAAAACAGCTGAGATAATTTTGCGTTCCTAAGTTTATGAACTTACTACTGTAGTGGAAACAATATACATGGATTTTTGGAATATAGGTACATTCTAAGATGACTCTACAGTACTAAATAGGTTGCAAAATAATTTCTGAATATGGGGGCAAATATCATGCAATTTCTTTAAAGAGCAATCTTGTAGACATTTGTTACGCTTTGTAGAAGTAATGGTAGGACACGTGTCATATCACTGCTTGATCACATCTTTACTTATGCAAATAGTTATTTTAAAGTTAATACAAAACCAGGTCCATTAAAGGCTAAGAAATAATTATTCTTCTGAGCAGTTTATGTGTGTGAGCTCTTGAAAGAAATGGGAGCATGATGATATATTAAAGAAGGTGGTGATCAAAACTTCCCTGAGAAGCTTTTGATTTGTGCTGCCTACTAGTTAAGAAGCTGATGGGAAGGTGGGCGTTGGAGGGTGATTGGTCAGTCTTACAGGAAGGTGATACTGGAACAGAGTTTAATTTGTTTTAATTTCTCTATAGGCAAGCAAATGTACACCTGGGGCCACCATGTTCAAGGGACATCAAGAGGAAACGAAAGCCAGCTGCAGCCTCCATGTCCAGCCCGACATCAGGTAACCTGGATTTATCTGTGTGCCAGCATATCTAAAGTCATGTCCTTCTTAAGCAAAGTGCCAGTCACAATAGTCAAAAATAGCATTACTTTGATTTGAAACTAATGAAATGTGTGTGAGAGAGAATATCATGTGGGTTTGTGTAGCATCAAAAGCTGCCTACTAAACAAATGATGCAGCTATGGTAAATTAATAAAATTTACAGTGCTTCACTGTATGGTGGGTAATATTCTGTTTCTTCATAAGGTGTTATTTCCACCGTTCCTTAATTATGCAGTACATGGTAATAAGGAGGTGATCAGTATACACAGTGTGTTCCTTCAGTAGCTGGTGGCTCTGGTGCCCTTTTTCAGGGTGTTCCTAGACACTTCTGCAGGAGAAGAAATCTGGCAATTTTTGTGTCATCACTTGGTGAGACCACCTATTCCCTGGCAGTTGTCTTACTCTTGTGGATGAAAATAGCAACTTTTTTCTTTTTCTTGCTCTGGGGATGTAGTGATTAAAATGCTGGTTTATTTTCATGTGGCGTATTTCCAGAAAGTGATTGATTATTCATCAGAATTTGAAAAAGTTTTAATCTGCAGAACACAGAGGTGTTTAGGAGACTTCGTTCTGGCTTCTCACCCTACTCCTTCTTGAAATGTTTTCCCTACTATCAAGTGACCCATGTTCTCCCAACTAGCTTATTAAAAAACTATTGTTGTAACAAGGCGGTGGGTAAGCTGATGGGGAAAAATGGTGGTGTGAAAATGGTGAGGAAGGTCAAAGGAACTGATGATGAATAGGAGGAATGGAGTTTGGATATCTTCCTTGGGCTGGTAGATAGACAGTGGAATAATGAACTAGGGAAGAAAGCTGTGCTAGCTCTCCAGGCCACAGATCTGAATGACAGACTGACTGAAAGGTTCTGTATTAAAAAATAAGAGGAAATAAAACCCCATTAAATTAATAATCTGTTGCTTGGCAAAAGTGTTATCTGCTATTGACTGATTACTTAGGATCTTCTTTCCTGGCTTTTGAGTATTTCATGCTAGGATATTCAAACTTCAGTAGTGAAAGAGTAAAATCATAGAATCACAGCCACAGAATTTTAGTTCTGCGATACTAGGTTTTCTTGGTATAAATGCTAGTGTCTACCTGTCCATTTATTTATTGATCAGAGCAGTATTCTGTACTGCATTGCCAGTCACCTTCTATAGGGAGAGCTTCTATTTCTATCTCTACATGTTTCAAAATATTATGTAATTGTACTTACCTGACTAGGCAAATTGTATAGTGAACACTTTTTGAAGAGTTGAATCTGCATCTGGAGTGGAACTCAGCACTGGAAAATAGCACAGTGGTTTGAAAGGTGGGGTTTTTTGGATTTTTTTTTTTTTTTTTTTTTTTTTTTGGGGGGATGAGGGAGAGAAAATTAGAGTATTATTACAAAGTAAGGAAGGAGAGTGTAGTTACTGGAATACAGACAGGATGCTTGTGCTGATCATCAAGAGAAAAGTGCTGCAGGGTGTTTAAGGGTCAGAAATGGTAAAGATTTCTTCCTTTGACCCTGATTAGAAATATCCCCAGAAAAGTTAACAGCTGTGGGCAGGGTTTGCTACAATACTGACTTGTGGAAAGAAACTTTTATGATTGGGTAACTGGGGCTGTGTCCTAGTTGACTTTCTACAGCAGTCTCCCAAATGCAGCTGGAGCACAACCTGGGCATGTAACTTGGAAACTTCTGAAATCTGATGTTATTTCTGTCAAAGGTGATCTGACTGTGCAATTACTGGTGCTAAAGAAATACATAGGATTACTCTGCAATAATGTAGAATTAACTGAAGACTCTTATACTTGTTAGACATTGAGATAGGTATAGATTTTTCTCCCTTGCCATGCATCTACTCCCCCGTATGTAAATGTCTTATACTGAGGTTCCCTTGTACCTGAGGGATATTAGCAGCCTCATTTTCTCACTACAGAGGCTTTTAATGTTTGTGGTGTTTTACTACTTCTGCAAAAGATGAAACACAGGTGAATCAGAACGCAGGCTCATGCCTGTCACTGCAGGCACACAGTGTGCTGGATTTCTTCACCTTTAAATAGCTCCTTGGCTGAGTCCAACTGCTCTCGTCTCACTTGTTGACCAGGTCTTGCTTCAGTGATCTCCTTTTTTGCAACCTGAGTGCCCCATGGAGGTGAAGGACACAGCCTAAGCTGGCTCCATCAGTCAACAGAACAAATGGGCTTGCTCTGCCGAACATCGGGCCATCTCGGATTCCACCTCTTTTATAGAGATGAGTGATGAAGAGGGGCTCGTTCCGCTTTGCCGCTGTATTAATACACATCAGGGGCCAGCTCCTGGCACTAAATCACGCTACTGCATACATCTGTTATCGGACTCCTCACCAGTGTGATGAACAAGACTGCAGATAGAGGCTTCCTCATGTCATTCTTTATAGCATTTTCCTAAAAGAATAAATAGCTCAAATCTCTGCCAACACTCTCCCCTGTCATTGTGATGAATTTAGCTTCTTTCTTAAACATGCAGCAACAAATCTTCCCCTGTCGCCTCACCCCCCCACCATCCACAGAAAGTTTGGAGTTGAATTTGGCTGAAATCAGAAGATGCTAATAAAATGCATATTAGATGTGGATGCTATCTCCCTTCTAGCTGCAGGAATGAGAGAAGGCAGCTAGAGATACGTTTATTTGGGAGCCAAGCAAACTTAAGTTTATTCCATGTCTTCTCACGTACTTTTGTGAATGTGAGTATTTATGGGTTCTGGTAAAGCTTCTTTTGTCAGAGACCTTTGTGTGAACGTCAGAAACATGCATTACTGTAGCAGAAGTGCCTGGGTCTCTATTGCATTGTTACAGCTTTAAACTTTGGGTATTAGTCCTGCCCTTTGACGTTAACTGGCCTAAATACCATACCTGAGAGAGCTATTAAAGAATAGCATTTTGGAAAAAGTCATAGCTGTTGAGAGCAACAAAAAATGGATGGAAAATTCAGAATTCATTTGCACTTCAGGAAGTGACTGTTACTAAAATTAAGTTGGGCAAACTTAGGCAAATGTTGAGAGAGACTTAAAAGTTAATGCTTTCTGTACTAGACAACTGAGCAGTGTGTGAGCCCTAAAGCATGAAGCTTTCACCAGGTAAGAACAAAAGTCTGGCTGGTGTAGTTTGGCAGTAGAATAAGGAAGTCTGAAGGAAGTAAGACTGGCTGTACTGGATTAGAACAGAAATTCATCCGACCAACAGCCAGTGCCTAGGGAAGAAGAAAGTCTGTACTGATAAAAGTCTTTCAAACTTTCAGTGATCTAAGACTTAGAGGCTTCAAAAGGCATAGGTAGTGTCCTTGTGTTTAGTTACTTTCTGTTGCAGTGCAATAAGTTTGGAATAATGTCCCCAGTGGCACAATGGAGCTTGTCTGAGAAATACTGTTTAAAACGTTATTCTCATGGTAGTTATTCTTTGGTTTGAAAGGGATCTGGTGAAGACTGTCATGTCTGTTTGTCAGAATAGGCCACAAGCATAGATGGTTGTGAAATAAATGGTTAACAATTGTCCAGCTTTACATTGATGTTTTTAGTGTTTATGTGGTCCAGCCCCTTATATATGCGGCTTACCAGTACCTGAAGGGGGCCTACAGGAAAGATGGTGAGGGACTGTTTATCAGGGAGTGTAGTGACAGGACAAGGGGTAACGGGTTTAAGCTGAAGGAGGGTAGGTTTAGATTAGATGTTAGAAAGAAATTCTTTACTGTTAGAGTGGTGAGGTACTGGAACAGGTTGCCCAGAGAGGTTGTGGAGGCCCCATCCCTGGAAGTGTTTAAGACCAGGTTGGATGAGGCTTTGGGCAACGTGGTCTAGTGGAGGGTGTCCCTGCTCATGGCAGGGGGGGTAGAACTACATGATCTTTCAGGTCCCTTCCAACCCAAACCAGGCTATGATTCTATGATATGTAGTGGTGCACGTGGTAACTGGCATCCTATTCAGGTATTACAGTGAGTCTGGCATATAAATCTGCGTACATAGATTTTTGTCTGCCTTGGCATGTATTCACGCATAGCTTGTGAAAAATAATAATTTCTGAATGGTGCCAGTTAGCAGTACCTGAAACTGCTTATCAGAGAACACTCTGATAAGAAGTAGCAATTTGGTGAATTTTACCTCTCTTATTTCTTGCGAATGCATTCACTCTTTGTCACGGTGTGATGGTACCCAGTAGCAAGAAGCCTGTTTTAGTCCTCTGCTTTTTTTCTTTTTATGAGCAAAGATGGAGAACCTGAGCAGGGAGACTGCTAGTGAGGGCCCATAGGGTAGTATTGATGGTGATTATTAGTTTAAGGACTTTGAATTACATTTTTTTTGCATGTTTCATATGATGGAGGAAGTTGATGGGCTAGAGGCAAAATATGCAATGTGCTGTTATCAGCTGTGTTGTTGTGGTTGTATGGGAATGACTCACTGTTTTGGATGTACAGAAGCAGGATTGTTGGGGTTCCAGATCTACTAAGTGTGGAACTTCAAGCATTGAACCAGCTTTTTATTTAAACTTCAAAGCAATCAATCCTCTAGTTTAGGCTTGTTATGGCCTCTTTACCCTTGCTCTACTACAGAGCCGCAGATGCAACTTGCAATAAAAACACACAAACAACTATTATCTGTTGTGAGAATACAATGAAAAGAGATGTGTTTTGTACTGAAGTTACTTATTAAAAAAAAAAATTCAGGTGCCCCAAAGACTCCTGTGGCAATTACTCTTCTTTCATCATGCCCTGTTCTGCTTGTGAGGATTGAGTGATTCAGCATACTGAGAATGGAAGTAAACTCATATCTCTAGGTTTCTGACAATCCTTCTGGAAATTTGGGTGACTGTTGGGTTGAGCTATGGGTCTGCAAATCTCTCTTGCTAACAACAGCCTGTCTCATTTTGAAGCAGTAGTTGTACTGAGAAAATGAGAATGGATTCCAACCTAGCTTAGCAAGTAGCTTCTTGTTATAATATGCTGATTTACCATATTGGACATATGTGGAGGTTCATGGTACTAACTTTACTGGGTAAAGAGGAGAGGTATATTTTCTCTTTAACTGAGCTTTGCAACCTGAAATCTGTCAAGCCTTTGGAGACTTTGAAATTCTCAGATACAGGGTTAATTGAGTCTTTGTGGAGAGATCAAGTTATCTTCACGTGAGTGATTATGAATTAATTCAGTTTAAGTATGGGACAGCTAAAGCTCTCAGTTTTCAACAGGAATGTTGACTAAAGGAACTAGTTAGTGGACTGTGAACTTGGAGTTCTGAATGTGAGAATCATTAGGACAAAGGTGTTAATGCTGTCGAGAACCTATTTGTTGAAGGAATTTGGCAGAGGAACTTGTAGGAACTCAGTAAATAAGACCTTCATGTAAGAAATTATAGATATATATATATATGTATGTATATGAGGCGCTTGCCATGAAGTCACTTGTTCTAACTCTTTTTTTTTTTTATTGTCCTTTCCTGTTCTTTTCCTCTGTTTCCCCCTTTCCTGAAATTTTATATTCCAGCAACTTTTTCTGTCCACATGGATGCAGCAGAGTCAGAGCTACCAGCAGCACCATCCCTGAGATCCCAGAACTGTGAGTGGACAGGGAAAACACCAGCAGCTGAGAAAGCCACTACTGCTGCCTCCAGTAACTTTTTTAAAATGCCACCAGAGAAGAGCCCTGGATACAGCTAAGAGGAAGCATTGCAACTGTAAAAGCTTGCTGGATTTTGGACTCTGGTGTCTGTCTTCACTAAATGTCTTGTTTGGCAGTAGTGATGTCTTCAGTATTGGTGCGTGATGCGTGCCATCATCCAGACTGATCTGCGTGCCCCACATACCTAAATCATGTTTGTGAATCTATGTTTAAAAAAAGGTAATCAGTGTTGGGACCGCAGTGGCTTTTAAAAATGTTCTTGCTATTGCTGTATTTATTATGCGTTCATCTCCTTCTCTGATGCCAGCTCATATGTGCTGGGTCATGTACAGATTCTCTTGGGTTTGCAGATCTGTATTCATCCCCTGGACATGTTGCTTGTTTGTGCATTTGGCGTTTTTTGGGTGAAAGTCCTACTACCACTCGCTTTCTTCCAGGCCAGGAGGATTTCTTGGCTGGGGAATGAGGAGGGAACACAAACAAGTTGAAACATGGAACCTGAATTCTGTATTAGCAGAATGTTTGCAGGCCACGTGCTAATGGACTCGAATCATGTTGCTTCTAGCGAAGCAAATACAGTGCTTGTCTGTTCAGAAATTGCCATTGGCTCGTGGGCAGCATGGTCCGTTAGACCTTTTCCTTCTCCTTGTTCTGAATGTCTTTAGTCTTGCTTGTGTATTGCATGTTCTTTCCTAAATCTCCTACTGGTTAAGGATTTGGGAGAACTACTTGGACATAAATGTGCAAGCTGGTGTCCTGGAAAGGAACCAGCTTTTTTGGGCCCTTGAATATCCTTGGAGTATGGTAGAGGATACACAAAACTTCCATTTCTTGATGTATAAATTAAAAATTGACTGTTAACTTCATCGGCAAGTGTCCTTTAGAAATGCTAACATGCCATTGAACAAAAAAGCCATTTAAAGTATCTCCTGAGTTCAGACCATAGTGGGTAGTGATCAGACCACTTCTGTCTCATGTTTTCCCTTCCTTCAAAAAGTATTGTCTGCTATATCTACTGGAGGTGTCTCCACCTACTGATGATTGTACTTTACTCTGCAGCATGCACAAAAGAGATTCTCTTTTTTTGATAGCACTTCCATTTGGTCCTGTGTTACCTTCTGTGTTGCAGAATTTATGGAGAGTGGTTTCCTCCCACTCTTTTCTTGAATTCTTCATCACACTCCACTTGCTTTTCTTGAATTACTCTGTCTGGAGCTTATTTTGGGCTGTGTTTTTAGAATATATACCTGCATAGCATGTGTCAAGGAACAGGTAGCCTCATTGCTTCTTTAGTCCTTTAAAATAAGATACATTTGTATGCATAGAACTCTTTTTGCTTTCCTCACTGGGTGGAGCTTTCAGACAGGACCGTTTAAACTTGTAAAATTCATTTTGAATACGGAGGTGCAGTTAGCACTCTTAAGTAGATAACAAAATTTAAAAACAAAAATGTTTTTAGTGTTTTTTTGCGGTGTTCTGCACTCCCTTATAAATAAAATGTCTGAGGGACAGATGTGATTGTGAGGTATAAAGCGGTGACTTACATTTAACTCTGTATTAAAATGTTAAATGGTCATAACATACACAAAACAAAAATTGAATGACACACTAAATCATGATTGACAAATACAGTTATATTACAGACACATTGTCCGTGTCTGATCCCCTAATACCTACTTATTCTTGGAGAGAGATCCAAATTGGATTTATATTTCGCAGCCCAAGCAAACTGTCATATCCGTCCACGTAAATCCCTCTCAAAACCTTTTTTTTTTTTTTGGTGGTGGTACATTTTAGAACTAATTAGAACAGGGAAAGCCTTTTTACCTTGCTGAAGGAGTACAGAGGTCAGTTTGGATTATGGGACAAGCTGTAGGTGTTTTGTGGAGAGAGGAGTGTTCCTGTTTTAAAGTAGTCATTAGATTGTCTTATTTTGTACTTCTTCTGAGCAGTGGTGCTTAAGAGGTAGCACAGGCTGTCTCAGCTCTGGAGGGCCTGTAATCTAGAACTTACAAAGAGAAGGTAAACCTGAAGAGTAATAGCTTGACTATGTACTACTCATGAACACAGTGAAGGGGAAAGGTGGTCACATTTTTCTGACCACCTGCAGATAAATTTTAGGATTGGAAGCCTTTTAACCTCACTTGCAGGCTGTTTCAGTGACAGGGAGTGGTCCCCTAAAAGAGCATTTGTGCAAATGAGTGTTTTTATTCTCATGAAGGATCCTCCACAACATCTCTTGGTTTGAGTCTAAAATTTTAAATTTTGGACATTGTGTTCTTTTTTAAAACTAATTCTGATGTATGTTGCTACATTCTGAGTATTGTTCAGAGTAGTTCTGTTTCTTCTGTGGTGTCAGGACAGTTTTAAAACTTTTATAAGAGGGATTTGAGGTGTGAGGGAATCAATGGCCTGCCTTCATCTCACTCATTGTGGTGGGAGGGTGGGGCTGCCAGACTTCACATGATTTTTCTCTGGGGGGCAGGGAAAGATAATTTATCAGATTTTCCTATTGAGGTCAGTAGCACTGTTCATCTGGTTAAGCCTTTACTTAGGTTGTAAGCTCTTAGGAGGTCTTCCTTTCCTTTAAAGGTTGAATGTACCTGTGGCAGTACTGAAAAGTAACTGTGGCAGGCCTTATCTTGGTAAGCCATATTTCCTGCCTTGGCAACTTTCTGGAAGTGACAGGAGACTCAAGTTCTTGCAGCTGCCCTGTCTTTCCTATTTCTAGGTTAGAACCCATTTGCAGGTCAGTCAGGCTGTAAACCAAATTTGATTCTCCTGAGTGGTAGACAAACTAAATGAATTAGCTGTCTTGTTACTCCAGGGTATTTATCAAAATTCATCTTTGGATTTCAGTAGCTTGATACAGATTTGAGTATTTGCAGCATTCTTAGATGAATGAACTAAGTGCATTGTTTTGTCTCTCTTTCTCTAAGGAAGATTCCTTGGAACTCACACAGTACTCTCAGTGAAGGACACTGCTTCAGACGTGGTTTGCTTGAGTAGAAAGGAACAATAACGTGCCTAGATTTGGTAGCTGTACTTCTACTAAGGTGGTCCAATATGTGATTATTGCTTCAAGAATACACAGCTATGCTGATATCCTACGTCTTGTCCACCAGGACTCCTCAATCTTTTTCCAGGTTTGCCTTCTCTCCAGTTGTCTTTGCACCTTGTCCTTATGGGAGACTTCAACTTCCCAGGCATCAACTGACAAATTGGCATGAAGAAAAAGTGGAGGCATTCGATGTTGTTGGGTTGTTGGGTTTTTTTGCCTCAGTCTGTAATAATACTGATAGACCTTGGGCTGCCCGCTCCTCTGAGTTGGAGGACCACGACTGCGGGAACAGTGACTTCCGATTTGTGGACACTGAAATTGTAAGGGACCAGCTGTATCAGCTGAATGTTTGTAAGTCCATGAGGCCAGATGGGATTGATCTCAAAGGTGCTAGTGGATGTTACAGCAGAACCCCTCTCAATCATCTACTAAAGGTCTTGAGAGCCTGGAAAGGTCCCTGCTGACTGGAAGCTAGCCAGTGTTATGCCAATTTACAGGAAAGGCACAAGGGAAGACCCAGGAAACTACAGACCTGTTAGTCTAACCTCAGTACCTGGAAAAGTTATGGAGAAGATCATACTGAGTGCTATTGAAAAGCATTTAAAGGACGATGCATTCATCAGGCACAGTCAGCATGGATTCACAAAGAGAAAGTCTTGTCTAACTAATTTGATCCCCTTCTATGATAAGTTCACCCACCTAGTGGATGAAGGGAAGGCAGTGGATGTAGTTTTTCTGGATTTTAGTAAGGCTTTTGATACTGTCCCTCACAGCATCCTTCTGGACAAGCTGTCCAACTGTGAGATGAGCAAGTACATGGTGTACTGGTTGAAGAACTGGCCGAAGGGTAGGGCTCAAAGGGTTCTAGTGAATGGGGCTACATCTGGCTGGTCACCAGTCACCAGCAGTGTTCCTCAGGGCTCAATGCTAGGGACAGTTCTGTTCAATGTATTTTTTAATGATCTGGATGCAGGAGTTGAGTGCACCCTTAGCAAGTTTGCTGACGATACTAAACTGCGAGGTGCTGTTGACCCTCTCAAGGGACAAGTGGCTATTGCAGAGGGATCTAGATAGATTGAAGCATTGGGCAATCATCAATAGCATGAAACATAACAAGAAAAAATGCTGGATTCTGCATCTGGGATAGAGTAATGCCAGACACAAGTATAAATTGGGAGAGGAGTGGCTGGAGACTAGTCTTACAGAAAGGGATCTGGGGGTGCTGCTTGATGGCAGGCTCAGTGTGAGTCAGCAATGTGCCCTGGCAGCCAAGAGGGCAAACTGTGTCCTGGGGTGCATCAAACAGCATAACCAGCCAGTCAAAAGAGGTGATTATCCCACTGTATTTAGTGTTGGTGCAACTTCACCATGAGTATTGTGTGCGGTTCTGGGCCCCAGCATTTAAAAAGAATGTGAAGGTCCTTGAATGTGCCCAGAGGCAGGCAACAAAGCTGATTAGAGAGCTGGAAGGCATGTCATGGGAGGAGTGGCTAAGGACTATGGGTTTGTCTAGTTTGGAGAAAAGGAGGCTGAGGGGCAACCTCATTGCTCTCTACAGCTTCTTGAGGAGGGGATGTGGAGAGGGGGGTGCTGAGCTCTTCTCCCTGGGATCCAGTGACGGGACATGTAGGAATGGTTCAAAGCTGCATCAGTCAGGGGAGGTTCAGGCTTGACATCATACAGATGGTTCTATATAGAGAGGGTGGTCAAACACTGGAGCAGGCTTCCTAGAGAGGTGGTCAGTGCCCCAAGCCTGTCAGTATTTTAAGAGGCATTTGGACAATGCTCTTAATAATATACTTTAACTTTTGGTCAGCCCTGAAGCGGTCAGGCAGTTGGACTTAGATGATCATTGTCGGTCCCTTCCAACTGAAAATACTCTATTTTGTTCTATTCTTGAGGTTTCTGTCTCTTCATTCCTCTAGTGTGTCAGGGTCCCTCTGGGTGGTACTCCCACCCTCCAGCGTATCAGTGGCT